AGGTTAAAATATTTGCGCTGGTTAGGAAAGCAACGCCCGCATGGCTACTTTAGAGGCCACAAGGAGGAGGGGGGAAAATAGTTGGAAACCGAGATAAGAGTCAACAGAAAAAATAATAATATTCCTGCTGGCTGGAGTTGCCAAAACTTGAGCTCATCTTGCAACTGTGCGGCGGGGCCAAAACTATTTAAATGCCCCAATGTGTCGGTTCTGTAGCCCCAGAAAAAGGAATTGTGTGCGTCCAACTGATAATTAGAATATTTGCCAAAGATTCAAATTCCATTATAATTACTCCACAAAGTGGACTTATAGTTTCCTCACATTTTTTACACGCCCTTTTTCTGCTTTTATCCCATTGGCTCTTTTTGTGTGAAATTCATTGGCCTGCTGCCAATTGAAGCCGCTTTCACTAGTAAAACATTTATGGAATTTAACTCGGCTATTATGTCGGCTGCGCTTTTAAGCCTTGCAATATTTTATGGAAAGCGCAAATAACGAATGGCATTTGTCCCGCGGATATTTTTGCGCATAAAGCTTTAAATTAATTATACAATATTACAGGCATGGAAATTAAATGAAGGTAGGAAAAACAATTTTAAAAATACTATTCAGGAAAATAACTTGGCTTACCCCTTAGTTAGTTAAGAGTATCCCATCATCAGGTTGGTTTTTCATGAAGTAAATCTCATTCTTTCAGCTGACCGGCTATTTAAAATGAAAACATTTAACTGGCGAAAAGCAATTAAATCGACGGCTGTGTCTTGTTTGTCTCCGTGTCCTTCGTCCTTCCTTTTTCCGGAATCCGTGTGGTGGCTATTAATTTATACATTATTGGCCACCGCAAAATTCACTTAAACACGCCCGTTAAGAGTGTGAAGCCGATCGAATTGCCACAGAAATCGAAATCTTGCCAGGCAATGTATTATTTATCTGGGGGATATGTATCGCGGGTTATGCACTTCCATTGACCACCAATCGACGACAGCAGATAAGCTGCTTCTGGAGAGGATTCGGTTTCGCAGCTGGAAAATTTCATCGATTCTCCGCCATTCGCCACCGTACAAGATGGCCGGGGTCCAAGTAATGAGATTTGCTAGCTGATACTCCGCATTTATTTATGGCCACTGGCCCGTGCGGTTTCACTTACCCAATTCGCCGAAGGGAGACCAACGAAGGAGCACCGATAGCACGGACCATAAATCTGAAGTGTTATGAGAGCATTGAGTGGGAAAAGTTTTATCAACGAAACACATTATTTTAGCACATTTCAGGACAGCTCAAATTCCCAATAGTGCAAAGAAACAAAGAGCGAAAGTAAGTAATGGAAATCGGACAGCGGAAGGGTCCAGGCTTCATGGGGAAAAAGGGCCAATGACCATAAAGAAAATCATAATTCCCTTTCATCGATACCGTCATATTAATCATGCCAGTTTCTAGAGGATATTTCAATTTATGTATCTCTAGTATAATATATCAGCTTCGATATCAAGAAAATACCTAGAAATTCTCAACCAACTCGATTTGCAGCCCAGTCCTTGGATGGTTAAAGACCCAGCGCAGCATATTGCACTTGGCAATCCAACTGTTAGTGGAAATCAATCGACTCAAATCGCATTTGTTGCCGAGCTGCAGCGAGGGAACCGCATTCGTTACCATAATAAAATTTGAGAACAAATCAAGCCAACAATTGGTAGCAATTCCCCTTCAATTGCACTGTTGCCTTGACAATGGCAAATTTGCAGCCGATTGTCTAGGCCTGAGTTGCCAAGGGACTGCGGAAAATTTAAGGATAATATCTTCAATGTCACTGCTTATTCGCTTTAAATCTACATGACAAAGAAATAAGTAAATTAATAAATAAATAAATAAGTCAAGAAAAATGTCCCTGCTGTTTTATTGAATATATGAACAACTTAAATCATTTAAATAAAATTTCAAACTAAAAACTTTGAATGTAACTTGGTTACTGTAGTTATTATTAAATTCAAAAATTTTTTTATTTTTGTTTTAAAATATTTTAATGGACTTTATGTACATAAAAATAATAACTCAATTGACCTTTTTCATATTTTGTAATTAAAATTTTATATTAATCTCTGCAAAGACGGATTAGTTTATGTGAATTGTATGTTTAATTACATTTGCCAAGTGCTAATATTGGTTAGCCGCAGGGGCTTTTGCACTAATTAATTTTCCCTTTTTCCGTAGGAATTTTTTTTTTTGATTAAAAGTGATTTTGTAATTGGATTTATACCAAAGGCTTAATTACATTGGTTAGTTTTAAAGCGATTGTCGATATATATATCTCCCAGATGCTTCTTAATTATTTTCCCACATAAAAGCTGGCATGCATCATCATTAGTGTGGAATGTAAATGCGGCAGGGCAGAAAAAAGAAACCCACAATTTGCATACTGTTCGACCTTTTGACTGGTGTTGACGGATCATTTGCACACATCACAAATAAACGAGCGTTGTTTGGAAACCAAATCACGACTCAGGGAACGACAGCGTTAATTAATTATTTCATTTCAGCATGCAAATTGCTTAAGCGATTTTTTTGTATTTATTTTTTCTTGGCTTTGCTGTTGTTTTTGCTGGTTTAATCTACTGCATACGCCCAGCGAGAAAAAAAGAGAAAAAAGCAGGACTGACAGCGTAATGAATTCAATGACACGTAGTGCTCGCGTTCCTCGATTTTCGCAGGCGAAGCCAAGAGCGAAAATTGTTTGCGCACGTAAGTATGCAACGATTTATTTCGCCCCTGTTCGCTGACAGAAGGACGAAAACAGAAGGACGACGACAGGCGGCTCACGAGCAGATAGGCAAACGTCTTTCCATTTTGACCATGGCAGTGGCAGTGAAAGCTGGCTGTTCTCAGGGTGAAGGTTCGAATAGTTTGTTACCTTTTAAGGACTTTACGGGGTTTGGAAAGTACTTAAAATTAGCTTTGTCAGTCCTAGGACAAAACTGCAAATGTGTTCCACAAAAACTTGGAGTTTCGAAATCACTTTTAAAAATGTATAAAAGTATGCAGTTTAAAAAAGGGTGGGTAATTTTATTGCACTTTTAAGTTGAAATAAATATTATTGCATACTTTTAGTCACCTTTATAAGCCCAAGCGATTAACGATTAATGTCATTAAGTAAATAAATTGTTTAAATATTTTCTTTTCATATAAAATTTAATTTTTTGAAAAAAAAATGTAAATAAAAACTTTTAATTATATAAACAGCAATAAGTAAAAATAAAAAAAAAAAAACAAGTATAAAAATTCAAAATTTTAGAAGTATAAATGTAATTGCATTTTAAGTGCAGACAGGAACAACTTTCTGCACTATCGTGTTACACGTTTTCTTTATTTATATGTATATTCGGCTTGACCTAAGCCTCTTTAAGTCCACCACACTCCTCTGAGGACCTCAGCACCAGACAGCCCAACCGCAGCAGGCGGAATAAGTAAACAAGAGTGTGTGGGGAGAAAAACAACTTGTCGGCCTCGTTCGCCTTGGTCCTGTCAGCATATCCTTGTACCGATGCCGAGTAATTCATTAACATTTAACTTGATTGACACACGAGCCGGGGGACGCGTCCAGGTTCTACTTATATTCCCGGCTCCAAGTTCTTGGTTCCAGATTCGAGGATTTGAGTGTTTTTTTTTGTGTTCCAGTGCGAGGCACGTATTTCGGGTGGGCGGGGATCGTGGGGCGTGGCACGCACACGATTTGTTTATACAGTTATAATGCATAATGGCATCGGATTTGGCCTGCCCGGGATAGGCACGCCCACTCACACACAAAAACAGAAACCTCCAGCACTGAGGTTGTTACTTTGTTAATTTAATAAGAGGAAAGACGACAACAGGTGCTGCAGCCCCAGCCCCCGAATTTCAGCGCCGAAATGAAGTCACGTCGCAGGCATAAATCAATTGCCATGAGCAGGCATTTGTGCCGCTCAAATTGCACGATTGCATAGGTAAAGGTGGAGAGTCCTTGCCGAAGGATACGCGGAAGTTGGGGAGTTCGGGGGCGCACTCTGCCAGCTGGCAGCTCGCAAATTGAGCGCAGGCCATGAAAGTGTAACGAGTCTTAATTCGTTTGCCAAGTGCCGCCAAGCGACCTACAAATCCCGATAACCATCCGATAAGCAACTCCCGTCGATGCCTAAAATACGTTGGCAGGACTGATGGCAAATCAAATACCCAGCTGGGATTCCTAAGTGGCAGTGGAGGGCTGTCCTTAATAGGAAAGTACTTACAACTCGACGGGGATCCACAACTACAAATAGCAAATATAAAAAAAAAGATAACTCTAAATTGAATTTTAAATCCTTAGTTTTTTAAAATGTTTATAAATGTTTGTATTTCAATATTAACCAATTAATTTTTAATAATAATTTTTTTAACTGAAAAATAATTAGGACGAGACTTTTATATTTTTCAATATTTTTTCGTTTAAATATTGTCTAGAAACTATGGAATTAGTAATACATTTTTAAATTGCCAACCAGTTTTGGCTAAATAATTTTTCTCCAAATTAAATTGTTACTTTCTTTTCAGCAGGTATTAAACTCAAAGAAATAATTTCTCCTACTTAAGAATTCCCTAATTAATAATGCAAAGTTGCTTCAAGGAAATTGTAGCTAAGCTCTTTTAATAAGCTTTGACAACTTCAGGGTTTCTGGGAAATGAAAACGCGTGGGCTGAAAGGAAAATTAGGTGAAAAGCACGGTGAGTGGAATTCAGAGGGACAAAGCGAACAGAAGCGCACGAAGGACATCATGGATTGATTATCTCCAACACGAATCCTTCCTTCCTCGACACTTCCGCTGCAGTTACAAATTGATGGCAATTACAAATGGAGCGTGCTGAAAGGGAAAAGGCCGCTCTGAAAACTTTCGATGTCCTGCCGGGCACAGTGGGTGGTTATTGCGCCACCCACTTTGCAGGCAGGTGTCCACCAAATGGACAGGTGTCAACGGTGAGTGCCCCTTGCGGAGCTGTTTCCTTTCACTTGTTGCTTTATTGGGTTTACATACAATAGCGGGATACTCGAATACTCAAACTGCGAGTGGACAGGACCGCTCACCACTGGAAAATGGTCAGCATGGCGCGGAGCAGCTCCGGGATGTCCCAGCCATGTTTGCGCAGGGTGCGCAATGGTTTAACGACATCGCGCTTCTTCTGCAAAGAAGTAAAGTAACAAAGCAATTAATATGCATCATAAACATATAGCTACACTGCCGCAAATGTGTCTCTCATAAGTAGGAACACACACAAAAAAACTGAGTAAACTAATAAACGGAATTTAAGAAATTATAATGACCCTACCAAAAAAAAAAATTATCTAAAATTTTGTCAGGACAATATTTAGGTTATGGTTGAAAATTTGTAGGCCATTTTGTTCTATTGTCATTTTATTTAGTTGATGAAAAAATATTGTAAGACAAATTGAGTCTTTTATGATCTTAACAGACTGTTAAAAAAATACAAGTGCAATAGTAAGAAGACTTTAATTTAAAACCCTTAAGAAATTTCTAAAGATTTAAAATCACCTGTAAAGGTGTCTAAAAGTATGCACTAAACAAATATTTCCAGACTAAAAATATAGAGGCGCATACTTTTAGACACCTTTTCAAGAAATTTGTAAGCCCAGTAATTTTTATGGCACTCTCACTTAATATGAGGTAATAAATCGTGCTCTACTTACAATATTGGCCTTCAGAGTGGCCTGGAATGTCTTCGAGACCACTGCCGTTGTGAAATTGCCAAAATTAGTGCGGTTCGCACGAGACTCGGCGACATAATTATGGATCTCTTGATGGGGCATTATATTTAACAGATCGCCCACGAAGGTATGATGCTTCACCGCCTTGCAGTCGCAATTTCGATCCGGTTTCTGGACCGGCAGGATGATACAGTGGAATATATCCGCAACGCTTTCAATATCCGCTATATCGACATGTTCCGCTTCCAGTTCGCGAAGGACGGTTTTATAGGCAGCCGTATTCGTTAATTCTTGGTTAACCTGTGTGAAACCGGGGGTATCGTAATACCGCATGGCACGCCGGAATTTCGGATCACAATTATAGTGCACATCGATTAGTTCCCTCAGGGTATCCTGATTGATCATATCGCGAATGTGCTGGAAATTCGCACACAGACTGGCATCGTGTTCGGTTCTATTCGTATTGTTATTGTTATTATTATTATTGTTGTTATTATCCGGTGGACACCATTCTTCGGAATCTTCATACGAATCCAGGATATGGCCAAATGTATGGCAGGCAAAGATGGCCAGAATTACGGTAAGTAAAGTAAAGTTCTTCAGTTCCATCATCCTCCAGCTGGCCGAGTTTCAAGTGGACTGTTCTCGAATCTGCGGTTCGGCACCCGCTTTTATGGCCCTCTCGTCGGCGGCCGAACTAATTACATGCATTTTCTCTTTCCTCGGACACTTTGCTTATCGCTCACCAATTAACGGAATTTTTCTGAACAACTTTCTGCTTATCAGTCGGCCAGAACAACCCATGGAAGTGTTTCCCGGAATGGAATATTCTCACATACAACGCAAAATTCCCTTAAAAAACTTAAAAACATTGCTCGTGATTTGTCCTCACAAGCGCCAACACAAGAGTGAAGAGCAGAAAAAACGGTTGTTTTTAATTTTTGCACGTGTTTTCACATGTTTTTAAATGTTCATAACATTTTCTCGGCCCGTCCGATTTTAACTGCCTGTTGGAAAAGATTTCTGTGTCATCCATAACGTTTCATTGTAAAATGAGAATTTATTAAAATGCGTTTGTTTAAGAAACAAAATGTAATAATGTATTTTTAAAAATAAAAATACAATTTTAACTTAATTAATTGATTTTTAAATGTAGATGTAAAGCTATACTTCTTTTACGTACCTATTTCTGAAAATAATAACTTTTGAATTTAAGCTGCAACAAAAAAAAACAAGAGAGAACGCTATAGTCGGGTTGTTGTCCCGACTATCTAATACCCGTCACTCAGCTAAAGGGAGTGCGAACGCGGGTTGGTGTCCCGACTAATAATCGTAACTCAGCTAAAGGGAGTGCGAGGGAGATAGATATATAATTTTTGATTGCGTATAACTTTTTAATGAATGGTCCGATTTGAAAAATGTCTTCTACATTTCGATAGGTATAAATATACACAACAAAAATGCATTTATACTTCTGGGAAATCTTTAAAGATGTGGGCGCAGGACCCATTTTAAAATCGTTAGTAGGCGATTGTGGGCGTTAGAGGGGGCGTGGCGCTCGGCTAAAATAAACTTGCGCTGCGTAGGAAGCCAAAGAATATGTGTGGGAAATCTCAACCTTCTAGCTTTTGTAGTTTTGGAGATCTCAGCGTTCATACAGACGGACAGACGGACAGACGGACAGACAGACAGACAGACAGACAGACAGACAGACAGACAGACAGACAGACAGACAGACGGACAGACGGACATGGCTAGATCGACTCGGCTAGTGACCCTGATCAAGAATATATATACTTTATGGGGTCGGAAACGCTTCCTTCTAGCTGTTACATACTTTTGCACGAATCTAGTATACCCTTTTACTCTACGAGTAACGGGTATAATTAATCAGCTTTTATTAATCATAATTCAGGAGTTTATTCATTTCCATAATATTATTTTCTCTGCGAGCACTCTATTTTCCACCGTGCAAATCTAATTGGATGATATTGGGGCTTATAATTCCTGAAATTACCTTATAATCTCCATGTTGTGCGCTTCATTAATTGCTAATTATAGTGGGGGCCCCATCCCATTCATCACAGCTACAAAGGCCTTATGACTTATGCACCTGATGCTCCTCGTTTGTGTGCATATGATTATGTGAATATGGAAGAAGAGGGGGACTTTGGGGGAGTGAAAGGATAATCCACTCACTCATTAGTTCCAACTGACAAACGAAGGGAAATGGGGGGAGACAAGTTCGTCAGTGCAGGACCAACATTTATCCACAGGACCAACAACACAGTCCAGAGTGCAAATCACTTTCAGTGAGAGATCAGGAGTTGCAGGACCCAACTGTCTGAAGGGAAAGTCGTTGTTTGGTGAGGGGTTTCTGGGTATTCAGCCTTTCACTTGATTCATGGCCTTCTGCTTCTGTTTGTCCAACATTTCAGGGGAAATTCAGTTTCTGTCCAAGCTCCAGTGAGATTTTACAGCACTTTTTCGGGGTTCAATGGGCTGAATGAATTTTTGCAAATTCAAACTGGAATTCATAATACAAAAAAAATCCTTTGTTATAATAATATTAATAATCATGCGCATCGTTGCACACATTTATCTTTCCACAATTGTCATATAGGGTCCTATAGATATCTCTTCCGCTTTCATGACAAACAAATGTAGCAAATATTTGCCAACCAATGAAGCGGAAATAGTTTTTCGCTTTGTTCTCATGTTTACGCCTCTTTTTTGTAATACTCGAACTCAATTGCAAATTTAGAAACATGAGAAAAATACGAATGGCAGACAAATTTCCTAAACAAGAAAGAAATAGAAGGAAAATCACAAAAAAACTGTTTCAATTTTTCTTTACTTAAACTTCCCTCCACTTAAGCTTAATCGGCGATTTATTTCAGTGGATAAAATAGTTCGCAGAGCAAGTATAAAATTCGATTTAGTAGTCGGCAGCTTAAATGAAGCAAATAAACTGCATGCTGGGTGAAAACTTTTTGCCGAAAGGTGGAGTTCAGAAATACTTATAAAGCGACCAACTTTTTGGGGGAGTTTCACATGGCAGATGGCAGATATTTCATTCGTATCTCAACTATTTGGTTTGCAATTTAATTGCGGTTTTTCCGACTTTGATTGCTGATGCTGTGCGTTGTTATTTAATTAACTTTGGCGGCTAATAAATTGTCATTACCAAAGGAAACCGCATTGCATATAAGGCCACTTTTTAGCCTGAATTTCCTGCAAAGGACATTTGTGAACCACACGTCCGTGCGACAAGGCCGCAAAGTTGCTCACATTTGGCCAACCATTCCCATTTCCCCCGATAATTTACTCAATTAGAGCTGAACTTGAAGGCTTTGCGGCATTTACGAGAATCGCTTTATTATTGCACTTAAGAGCGCTCCAAATTCTGATGTTGTGGTGGTGACACAAGCACACACACACGTTCCATCCACACAGACAGCTAATTTAGTTAGCTGATAAAACTAAACTGAGCTGATCATCTTATGTACCATATAGTATGTATAATATAGTATAGAATGGTAAGGAAGGATGAAGGGCTCTGGAGCGAAAGTTGAACAGCTAACTTACTTCGATAAACAGGCTTAATTAGCGGCCAAAGCTGAAAGCCAACAAACTGCCAACTGGAGCTGGCACTAGGCGCATTATTTCCCATTTCCCAGGACCCAACTAACACACACACACTCACTCACCCTGCCACGCACACAAATACATTTAAAGCCACTGGCAGCAGGGCTAAAAACACAATCAAATATTTTACAGTGGTCGAAACTCAAACAGAGGGCTGAACTTTCTCACTGGGATTAGAAACAGAAAAGTAGGAAAAATATTATAATAAAACATATAAAACATCATTTGAGTTTTGAATTCACTTTTAAAGGTCTCTGAAGGTATGCAACAAAATAGTTTAAATGTATCTATTATGTTCTATTAAGTGATTTATGTAGCTTGCCCAATAATATTGCAGAATATCTTACAAATTTATGAGAAGAATTTATCTAGATTTATTTTTAACGTAAATAGTATCTACAATACTTTACATACGATTTTAAAAAAAGCTGCCCAAGTACTCATAAAATTGTGAATCTTTAATTATTACTCATACGCAATGTGGCCCTCATACTTGATTTTTTTGGTTTGGCCTTTAATTTAATTTTAAATTTAACACATATTTTTTAGAATAACAGTGCAATTAGTTTCTTTATTTAATTTACTTAGTTTACTGAGCTACTTGCCCCACTGTAAACATGCGGTTGCCGAAGAGCTTCGTCGACTGTCCGGCTTAATTATGTGCAAGCAACAATGATATTTATATTATCAGCCAGTCAATGTCAAACGTCAGCACCGCCCACTGACCAGCAGATGGAGTCCTTCGTGCCCAGGCCCAATCCTCCGTTGCCCACTCACAGGATTAACATTAAGTCCGAAGACAAAGACGTCGGCCAAGGTACCAGGATATTATTTGGGGTTGAGATGGGCTCTTTGTGGAGCTTTTAATAGCTCCTCCATGTTCACCAATACGCCGCACAGCTCTACGGGCCATAACCCGAAATTATATTCATGCACACATGGCTCCCCAGAGGCAAAGTAAGAAAGCGAGTTGAAATGCTGGCCCCCAAAAATAAATGCAGATTCATGGCTGCCCAGTCAGCAGACAAATGATGTGCGGCGCAAAATCAGCGAACTCGAAAATTCCAAGAGGCCTCCATTGAATGTCCTTGGCCCTTAAAAAGTTAAAGAGTACACACACAAGAAATTTATTCGGATAAATATTAAAAATAGAATATGAACTGGTTTCATGCATTTATTTTAATATGCAAAAATTTAAAACTAAGGTAGGAATTTTATTTGTTTCTTTTGAAAAATATTTTGAATATAAAATCCTGAAAACTTCTGTAAGTAATCCATCAAAGCTATCGATTATTTTTTTGGTGTACATTTCACACAATGGAAAAGTGTTGGCATCACACAGTACCAGAAAAATGGCTCACACTCATGGTGCCAGAGTGACATCTCACAATTTCTATGACAGCTCACCGAATGGTGGAGAAATAATATGGTGGAAATAGACAAAGAGCACGGAAATTATCCCGATTTTATTCGGCAATCAATTGATACTCTTTCGAAAATACACATTTCACTAATTGGACAACCGCAAAATCAACAGGCAGAATCTATATAAATGCATACGCATATCTGACCAATTAAACATAATTCAATTTGCAAATTTCACTCTTGGAAATCTGTACTCGACAATGTGATTTGGCTTCATTTTATAATTAAGTTTAAAATTATTGTGCAAAAGTATTTCTGTTATAGCATGCATTGAATATTTATTTGTTATTCTACACTATTTTTTATTTAACTTTATTACGTTTAGTAAAAATTCCTGGATCCAAAAAACACAGGAAACTTGTATACAAATTAAAAAAAGAGCAATAATTGAATTTTTCGTTCAATAATGAAATTTTTTCCATAAAACATACAATCATGTATCCTACGCTAGAAAATATTTTATATTTTTCTTTCCGTTTTCTTGTTAGCCCGAAATTCAAGCTGCTATGCTAATGATTTCAGGGTATAGATAGAGCATAGATATGGGAAAAGCAAAAAAAT